CTGGCTATCCTACAAAATTTTAAACTTTGTTCCTCTAGTGAAACCAAGCTGGCTATCCTACAAAATTTTAAACTTTGTTCCTCTAGTGAAACCAAGCTGGCTATCCTACAAAATTTTAAACTTTGTTAAATGTCTTTGTGAAGCATCTTTTATGAGACTTTTTTCCTAGTGATATAAAACTGATAGGCCTATAATTAATGGGATGATTATCATCACCTTCCTTGAAGAGAAGAGAAACATTAGCCAACTTCAGCCGTTAAATCAGAAGAATGAACCTTCCTTTAACAACTTGCTTATCTTTAACGTTAATGTATTCAAAGAAATCCTTAATGTCAATTTCTAAATTTTCACTCAACCTTTCTTCGTATACCATTTTACCTTATGCCCTGTTTGATAATAATCCTTTAAATTTCCCATCATAGTATTAAGTTTAAACTTCTAAAACTTATAATACTTTATTTTATCCCCTTCATGAATAAACTGGTCTTTTACTTGAAACAACCTTTTTTTTTTCATGTAACATCTGCCTTGAATATTTAAAACTTTTCCACTTTTGATCAGTATCTCCAATTAATCTAGTTGTCCAATTCTCAATGATCATTTTTGTCATACCCTCTTCAAAGAATTTTCTAAATCAGTAACCCAAATCTCATTATTTCTTATCTCCAAACAAAGTATAATTTCAAACCCAATCGTACAATGATCACTTGCACCCAGATGTTTCCCAATCTCCACCCTCTTGACCATTTCTTTATTAGACGTTAACAATAAATCTAAAATATCAATAGCTTATTAACTGGTGCAGGAAAGTATTTCTAAAACCTCATGGTTTGACTTCTCATCTGTTTGTTTTAAATTAAAACCATCCATAATTATGACCTTGTTAACAGTTGAAATCTTAAATCTCACTGTAGTTTCTCACTAATTTTATCAGTTAAATTTGGTGTTCTGTAACAAATTTCAACTAAAAGCCTTCTGCCCTTATATATCCACTAACAGAAGCCCAAAGAAATTCAATCTCCTTGCTATTATCTTCAAAACAAAATGTCTGCATCTAACCAATGTTTCAAACAGCCTGTAATATAAAAATCCTCTATTTTCTCTGGTGTTCTAAAGTCATATATTTTAACTTATTATACTTTTAATATCACAAAAGTAGCAATTTAACCTACATTAAAAAATATTTGTGTACTTTGTTCCTCCAGTACACGTTTCTCTATATCTAAATTCAGGTTCCTGGCTTATTCTTACAAAATATATATGTAATGTATAATGATAAACATAAAATTTGTATACCAACTATAATTGTTTCAGATATCCATAATGTGAATGTGTGCTTATGTCATATAATCTGTATAGCAAGTATCACTACAAAAATAGTATATTTATTAACCTATAAGAGATTGAATGTATTATTATATCCAAAATAAAGTTTTATGAATGTATTAGATACATATCTCTGATAAAAACAAAACAATCACTATTGTGATGTGTATTTTGACCATGCAGAACAAACTTTCTGGTAAACTTAGACTTAATTTTTCAGTTCACTTCTTAAGTTAAAATATTTATAAACAATAACATGTAACTGATCATATAATTTGTAGGAATAAATTAATAAACCAGGATTTGGGGCAGAATTGTTTAGGTTTTGGTGGATGAATGTATGATTTTTACACAATACTAAATAAACAAATGATGATACATATTTTGCAAGAATAAGCCAGGACTTGGGTGAATTCACAAACATCTAAATTCTAATATATAAAGATTAACAAATGCTAAGAGTAACAAGTTTAGGTTAAAACAGAACTTTATAGATGGGCTGCCAGTGCTAGTATTAATAATAACATAAAAAATATGCAAGGAAAGCAAGCTGAGCTCAATGTGAGTTTCGGCTATACATATTTTTAAGCACTAGTGGATTCAGGGGGGTGCAGGCACCCCCTTTTAATAATTTTGCACCTTTAAATTCTAAAGTGCACCTCTTTTAACAATAACTTGAATAAGTACTTTCAATAAAATATTTTATTTCCTGTCTCTCCTAGCTACAGGCTAATAATTTATATTTAATTTTAAGTTAGATGTATCATCTGGTTGCATCGATATAAATGATGTATGCTGAAATTATAATATTAATAAGTACTTTGTAGTAGTGACATTACTATATTACTTTAGTGTATATATATATATGGATACTGATAATATAAATTGTATTTGTAATATATCATTTATGTATAAAGTATACGAAGTCTAACTTACTCTGATTTCCACACTGTCCAAGTTGCAACATTATCATTTCACGAGGCATTTTGATACAATGTGTAATACTCAAGTTATACAGTAATGAAAGTAATTAACTTTAACACACAGTGAAATGCTCAAACTATCACTCCTATCCCAGTTAAACTTATACTTAAAACTAAAAGCCTAAATTACAGATTTACACTTTCTTTCCCGCCGTCGCACTGCGGTTTTAGCCACTGCTGCCATCTACTC